AGGGGGGGGGGGGGGGGGGGGGGGGGGGGGGGAGACAGCCGCCCCAGACTCCCAGCTGTTCAGCTAAACTCAATCTTCTCTGCAAAAACGGACCCAAGAGAAAATCCTGAAAAAAACCCTGACTACCTGTAATTGTTACTGCTAATATACTGCAACATAGTGGAATTCCAATCACCAATGTTTTGCGTAAGATCATTCGCTAGAAAACTACGTCAAGAACCAGCAATTTAACTGAATTAGTGAATATCAAAGGCAATTCATGTGGTTCCTCCAGAACGACATTTCCTCACTGTTCATAACTTACCACTTGTAAATTTTTCAACTTTCCAAAATCTGCTGGCAACTTCTCAAAGTCATTGTCACCAAGATACAGAGCTCGTAGACTATCTACAGCAAGCCATTATGACAAAACAAAATCTTTATACATGTAACATGCATTTCACAATCATGATAATTAGTACTCAGTAGATAGTACAATCATCATATATTATTATTTTTATTATACAATATTAGATACTCCCAATTGGGCTTTTCAGGATCTAATTATTACAAATATGAAATTCTAAATTCTAATACAGGTAGTGAGTACATTTTTAAAACGTACTGTATTAAGGATTTTTACAATAGTATAATAAATTCACATTCTGAATTCTAGCATATGATTGTGCAACTACAATGGTACAACAGCATACTTACAGTACAGAGGCCATCAACAAATACTTGTACTGCAGATACATGCAGTACCATCATGTTTAATTAACAGCAAATTGGCCGCTAAAACTTTAATTAACCTTCTCCCTCATACAGTGGCATTTGTGTGAAATGGAGGAAGCAAAACAGAAATGGATTTTAGCAAAGATTGCAATGTCTTCGGTCAATAAACTTTACTTGTGAGATTTGGTGGTGCCACCATTTATGCCATACTGTAAATGAGTGTACATACCTGCTAGCAGGAAAAAATTTGCAGGAAGAGAATTTTCATTGAGGTTGTTGTATGTTAACTCTAAAATTTCCAGGCAAGGCAAGGAACCAAGACCTCGAGGCAAAGAGCTCAAACGGTTAACCCTGTTGTAAGAAACATAATGGTACAATACTGTATACTGTAGTATACAAACAATAAAGATGTATAAGTATAATTATGAGTATAAAATTGATTGAGGATACTAAAGAATAAATTGAATGAAACATGAGATTAAAGTCAGATAACTTTAAATTTGACTACAAGTATGACTTGATGGTATAAAATATGAGTACTGAAGATTTGCCATTTTTGTATTAACTGCACTTTATTTTGCTGTCAGCACTGCCTGATGTTTGTGATATTAATGATTGTTTGATTGTATTCATAGCCCTACTCAGCCAATATCTAACCATAGGAAACATGAACAGTATGAATAGTAGGCTTACCCAACATTCAAAAATTTCAGTTTTGATAATGTAGTTATTGATGTTGGAAGTTCCTAACAAGATAATGCAAATGAATCAGTTATATTAGAATTGAGCTGAGGTAGCAATCTGAGCATTTCTAAAATGGATATTTTGTCTGCTAAGTACCTGTACTATACATTATTTATATTTTCATCATCATTCATACCTCAATAAAATTGTTAAACAGATTCAAATGTTCCAAATTGTACAAATCAACAATAGAGGATGGAATTGCTAAAAGAAAGTAACAAACACCAACTGATGCACATGACCAAATCTCTCAAATGAGCAAAATTGTCTATTGAAGGTGTTCAATAGTGTACAGAGGCTGTAAAACAGGGATTGAACTGGGAGGCAGGTTCTTCATTTCACACTTTAAAATGCAGTGCAGGAAATGCCCATTACTTGAGAAATGAAACCATTGAGATGATATTCTTCTTTACTGTTACATGAGACAGTTGCCTGTCGATGTACGGCTAGTGAAAGGAATCCAGTCCAAATAGCAATCAGACACTCTTGGAGGAATATTAGCAGATCCTAACCCTATTATTAACCCGAGCTTTTAATTAAAACTAGAAAGAAAACATTTCCTAGAAAAAAGTTCTTCAGCAGGAATCAAACCCACAAGATCATGCACCACAGCTGCATGCATTAATAACCACAGAGCTACTGGAAAGCTTGTTGATTGCATCCTCAAAAAATACATTTTATATCATTCAATGATATGAATGTCAGGTTTCAAAATATCTGACTGCCAGACTAGATTCCTTTCTCTAGCCTCTAGTTGTCAGTCTTGCCATAATCATGACCTGACTTCTTACTCTTATCCTGGCACTAATTCTAATTTATTATGTGGCTTTTCAAAATTCTCTATTCTGATTGGTTGACAAGCGGTTCGTAAAAACCCATATCCGGACCGTGGTCCGTATTTTCTGTATCTGGACCGGTGTCCTGGATCTCGTTTATCTGGCGGGAAATTTTTGCCTTGCAAACAGAAAAAATTTTTGCTTTTTAATTTTCCAATTGTGTGTAATTAAAATATACAGATAAAAATTTCAAACAACCAAATTGTTTTTGATTGAGCATGCATGTCTACCGTATATTGTTACCCAGTGAAACTGACGATAGCCGATTTAATTTGTGTGAAAAGCATATGCTCACAGACTCGTTCAGCCTTATAATAAACCGATTGACCTTGCTTGTTCGGTCTGTACTGTGAAATATCAGACCTCTTTTTTTTGCATTGGACCTCGCTCCTTCGTCGCTTGGTCCATACTAAAAAACCTCGGTCTGATATTTCACAGTACAGACCTCACGCTCGGTCAATAAGCTGTCCCACTGGGCCCACGATGTTATTTCAACGTTGAAATTTGGTTGAAAAAAGGTCGCAACGTCGACAACCTAATATCAACGTTGCTCTGACATTGTTTTACGAACATTGGTTCACCAGCAGCAAACAGACGTCGAATCAACGTTTGTTGATGGTTTGTTATACAATGTCAACTTGTGACGTATTCTCAACGTTGTTTCAACATGGATTCAATGTTGAATTATGGTTAACGAGATTGGCAACCTAATCTCAACGTTGTTTCAACGTCAAAAGAGTAACGTCAATCCAATTTGCATTTTCAATCCTTTTTCAACGTCTATCCAACGTCTGGGTGATCATTTCCAACGTTGATTCAACGTTGAATAGACGTCGTTTTGGCCGCTGGGGTTATTATCGTAACCATAATCCTAATCTACACCCTAATCCTCACAATTCATGAGAACGGGGCTCCCAGGGCAAGGAGGGTCTTGTGAATTAATTATCAGAAGGGCATATTGTGAAGTTGAATGAATGAATAAATACACAAAGTAGTATTTAAATAGAAATAAATAAAGTTTAAAAATAAATACTGCATGGCATATTTCATACAATCTTGAATTTTTTAAATGATGTGTCAATGATATATAAATGTACATCAATAACATCATACCTGTTAACCTGTTGTGAGATAGCGTCAGCTTTGTCAATTGTCTTAATTGAACTAAACAGTAACAAATTGATACATAATAAAGAAACAGATCATTTTAAAACTGAAGTGTCATAATTTAACAACACAAACAACCTTTAGTATACATCAGAGATACACGTCAAGAATTTTTCACAACTTACGTAAAATAGGAACGCTGTTCAAACTCTTTATTTCTCTGTCAGCGAGGTCTAGTTCTGTGTAGGCGTTATCTCGCGCCTCCTCGACTATTTTCTTGATCGCCTTCGACATGATTTGGCCGACATATAAAACACTCCTTTCCTCCACAAATTTTACAATCCAAATTTTCCGAATAGTTCCATTTGGATGTTTCAAAGGAAAATTTGTTTCTTCCATAAGGAAATTTGCCCAAGGGAAGATATAACAAATATAACAAGACTAGTTTACTAGCTTTTTGATAGTTAAAAATATATTCTAGACCTTGATAATTAAAAATTGAGTTAATATATTTTATAAAAATTAAGACGAAATAACAGAAATTTGGAAATAAAATTTACGATATAAAATATAATTGGATGTGGATGTTGGTGAAAAACCAGGAAAATTCAGGCTATAAATAAGGAAATTTTTGCGAACCACCCAGTTTACGTTGAACGTCATGTAAGCATTGAGATAAAGATTTTGTAATGTTTGCCAAAATAAAATTTTGAATTATGACAATGTTGGCTGAGTGTCATGTGGTAAAAATGGAAAATGATAGAAGGAAATGTGCTAACTTTTCTTCAGCTGTGTCGGATTTAATAAAATACTAATATTAAAATGCTAGATTATGGTGCAGAACAATTAGTGCTAAAACTGGAACGAGTATTTCAAGAAAAAGGTATATTTAGCAAAAATTATTTTGCTCTGATTTTGGCCTAATAATAATAATATATGTACTATAGTAGAGAGTAAGATAGATCATCTGTCTGGACCAAGGATGGTGAGTTTATATTAAAATATTTCTGTGTATAAATGCTGCTGTGTATAAGATGGAACCATTGAAATGAATGAACTCAGAAGCCAGATCGAAGGATAATGTGGTTGATAGATGATCTGTCTATTTATATACTGTAGATGTGACATTTTAATAAGACTGATCATTTATTACGTCACATGGGTGGTTTTCTAGAAATACCATTCAATGACATTTTTATGGCCACCAAAGTATATTTCTATAAGCAGTATACCCCCCCCTGCACCTGAATTAGACAAACTATATTGTGCAAGGGGCCCGGGACAAAATGACATATTGGTGAACACAGCCCCCCTGTCCCTCTCGACTCTGGTGCATGGCCACGCCAAAGTATATTTTTAATCGCAATCAATGAGAGAATTACCAGCGAATTACTTGCAAGAAATTGCTGCATAACTAACAAAACGCAATGTGAACAATGTTCAGCTAACTGTTTTTGCTGAGAAAACGATCGAAAAATCGTTTATTTCACATTTGGTTACGTTTTACGATCGATCACGACGATCAGCGGATAGTGTGTAAGTAGGCGTATTTCATTTAGGACAAATATAAAGCAATGATAAACGGGCCCCTTTGAGCACTCTGGGCCCTGGGTATTTTGCCCCCTCTGCCCCCCCCCCCCTCTCGCCGGCCTTGATATTGTGTAAAATTTCCCACCACACATAGGGTTGGGCGATATCTTGATATTTTGATTTATCGCGATATTTTGATTTATCGCGATATTTTCAATCGCGATTTTTTCAATCGCGATTCTCGTATCGAAGGTAGATACTTGAGCGACGATATATCGAAATTATCATGATGGTCGAAGACTATCGTGATATTGCTTCGCATGTGTACATAAAATCCTAAAAAATTCTTTCAGTTCCTAGAAAATATAGTTTTTAAAAGAATTAAAACTATTTCCTGAATTAAAATGACATTGCAGGCTAATTTGCTTGGGCTGTGTGCACACAGTATATGTGCCAGCGGAGACATAGTAGATAATGCAAATACAGTTCTGGTTTATGAACAGTGAATATTAGACTACAAAAAGCTTTCATATTACTTTAATTTGTTGTTTTTACTTGTTTTTTAATAAGATTATATATAAGCTTACTATGCATTGATATTAGTCATTAGTGGTCATTGTTTTTATTGCATTTATCGCGATATTATCGAATATCGTGATAATTTCCTTGACAATAATCGTGAGATGATTTTTTTAATATCGCCCAACCCTAACCACACAAACTATGTAACCCGGCCCGATCTTAACACAGCGTGTTCAAAATTTTGACCTACCCCGGCCATTGACATGACTGCCTCCTCCCTCTCTGGGACAAAATAATCAATTGGTCCCTTATATGCAAAATATAATAACCTACCTCTCAAGTCTCAACAAATTAAAATTTCTGGCAGTGGTTAAGATATCAATGCATGGACTTTAATTAAACAAAATAAACATAAATATACTAATTTAAAAGATTTCCTACTGTTCTTCTACTCTAAGTAGGATGAATTATGTACTTTAAATTTGGAGCTGTTTCTAAAATAATATACCATATGCAGAGCTCTAAAGTATACACTCAGAAAAACAGTATATAAAATAAATTAACCCTTTTAAGTGCAGGGCATTATGCACACTTAGGCTAATGCATCCTACTTTATTATTTTACTCTGTTCAACGTCACCAGACAATTTTACTTGATGTCAAGTATTCAATGTTTCCAAATGACAGTATTGTCTCTAAGTATACAGGATCTAGAATCATTGTGCAGTGTATTCTGATCACCTTTATCAAAGTGCATGTCATCATCATTCTTAAATAGCAGATGATTCACACAGTGGCGGGAATTCACTTTTTCTGGTTGGTGGGGGGGGGGGGGCAAAGCCTCCTAAATTTCCGACAAAACTTTCAAATTTCCAACATACCCCCCCCCCCCCATTTGCACTCGAAAAGACTGTTTTTAGCCCTCTTTTAGGTCAAATTTTCCGAAAATTCGGCAATTTTCTGTGAAGGCAAAGGGCACTTTGCTTCTGGAGAAAGGGCACTTTTTGTGTTTTCTGAAAACTTGTTAGGCCTTGCCCCCCCCCCCTGTTCCTACGCCCCTGGATGTGTCCACACAAAAAAAACTGTCATGAGGGACTCGCATGAGAACACTTTTTAAAATTTCAGACTTAACCACAATTCAGTGAATTGTATTTGCTATTGGTGGATTTGGTAAAAATATAATAAACACATGACGGTGAAACGACCAGGTTTATGAATAAACATTGACTAACATAGATAATGAGTTATATTGTTATTTTAATGAGTTTCACAGCCATCTTCCCTTTGTAAGCTATGCACATGCATACTGAATATTTATCTTCTCTAAGATATATATTTAGGCTAGCTCCCTCGAAACGTTGAAATTTTAAAAATATTTTTCAAGCAGTTCAGACAAACCACTTATTGTAGAATATACTACCTGTGCTGAATCCTCGTGTTTGAGAATGATATAGTCTGTATTGAATATACTGTAGTGCTCGCTTTTTGATAGTATGGAAAATATACTATATTTCTGCTGGTATCACCCACTACATACATACATACAAGATCTTGTGGCTAGAGCCTAGAGTTTAGGTTCGTTTTCTGCCAAAGGGCCTAGTACTGTATATAGTTGTATTTTTCACAGCTGCTTTTGGTTAGGTGTAAAATTCTACAGTACAGTATATAATCTTCCGCTTAAAATTTTCTATCTACAAAATCCTTTCAACTGTTAGTTCTATCGAGCAAGATGCAAAAAAAGATCTTGATTTTTACAGCACTCATACTATATATATTTCATCATCTTCGGTTGTATAATCTTCTTTTCTTGCACAAAGATATATGTAACAAGGATATGCTGCAGATAACGCGGTTGTAGGGTTACGTTAGCCAAGGACTAGTTGTGTAATATGGCGTAAAGTAATATGGGGGAGATACAGTACATGCAGTAGTTCATCATTTGGGTTGTAGTGGAGGTGCGGTAGGGTGTTTTGCTTCGTTCGCACGACGTGGGTACAAGCAGGGGATCCATTTTCGGAACTGTTCTCTGGACCCGATTTTTAATCTTGGCCTTTCCTTTCCGATGCGAAATTGTTTTCAGACGCGTTTCCAAACCTGAAGTTGGAACTGTTTTCTAAAAGCGTAGGACTATAGCCACAGGGGTTATTATAGCGTAGGACTATATATAGCCACAAATGTTTCATCTTTGCAGTGTGCAGTTTTTCGTCCAAGCTTTTGTCGGAACTCATTTTTCCTAAGTGTTTCTTTTGGTTTTCAATAATCAATACCTTGACCAAATGTTTCGGTTCGAAATGTTTTTGCAAAAAGCTTGCAGACTTTTTATTAGAGTACGTACACTGTAGCTAGATAAGGCAAAACAATGCTCGATACGCTTTATGAGTTAATATTAATACAATCCCATAATTCCATGGAAATTGATTCATTATAACTTCTTCCAATCAAATAAACAATCCCGTGTTCTCAGTGTCAAACTAATAGTTTTTTTCTTGTTTTGACGAGGGCGGTTATCATCGCAGTGATTCTCCCTCGACCCGCACGTACATCTTACTTTCTGCTATTTCCATTTAACGATTCATTCTGAGGGCGAGGAGTCCGCTTTTAGGCGCATGCGCTTATATGTGGGGTAATATCAGGTCAGATCCGCCAGTTGCTGGGTTGTATTCCTATCTGGGACCCAAATTAAGTAGAATGTGTAGCAACTAGGTATATTTTGGAGGAAGGATGCGCGGGCGGTCTTTTCTCTCTGTACTCAATAAATATAGCCAGGAATACAAAATATAGCGGACCACGGAACCATTGATCCCAGTAAATATTTGAGGTTGGCAGAAAAAATTGGAAGGTAAAACCGTAGAAGGTAAAATGTCATAAAGGAAAAAAAGACCATCATTTAATGACAAACATACTCTACTTGGTTTACTGATCATATAGACAAAAATGTATAACATAATATTTATTCGGTATAGCCATGTTGGAATAATGTCTACTTTCAAGACCGAAATGATGTCCAGAATTTGTCCAGAATACGCTGAATTGTGTTTAGTTGCGACAAAATTTTCAAAACCATAAGATTTGCGGTGGAAAATATTTTCGTTGGCCTTGCGGTCCCAGAAAATAAAATACTTTTTAAATACTTTTTACTGTATAAAGACAGGTACCTTGTCTGCCTCGTCCCCAGGCGCTATAAAACGATTTCACATGCGAGTCACTATATAAAAGGTTTACATGAAGTAGTGCGTCACATAGGCGCGCAAAGGGGAATGGGATATGAGCGTTCTGGCTCCTCAATTTTCGCTGCCTCAAGCCCATAAACCCCTGCGCTTGTTCGTCGCGATGCACTACTTCATGTTAAACTTTCATATAGTGAT